AATACCTAAACAATGTGATTTGAGTGAGAGATATGAGTCATCATCTAATCCTATAGATCAAATAAACATTGAAGGTATTGATGAGGTAATGGCATCACCTAATGGTGGTACCAACATTGATACAAACATTACAATTCCAAATGATGCCACAATCCGGGATCCACCGCCTTTTAGAAAAAGTCAGAGGGTCATCAGACCACCTCCTTGTTAATTTTTAGTCGGAGAATCAAACCAGGCGATCTCCACAAAACAAGTTGATGATCTGACTTCATATAATGAGCTGCGAATGATGTGGATGCAGATTTATGACAACAAAATATGAATATTGAAATGGAATCTATGTATTCCAATCAGGTCTGGGAACTTGTAGATGCACCGAAGGAATAAAACACATCGGGTGTAAGAGAAAGAGAGAAGCAGATGGGAGAGTGGAACTTTCAAATCAATGCTAGTGGGTAAGGGTTTTACCCAATGAGAAAGCATCAATTACTAGGAGACCTTCTCACCTGTGGCTATGGTTAAGTTTATCCGGATTCTCTTATCCATTGGAGCTCGTTTTGATTATGAGGTGTGGCAAATGGACATCAAGATGACATTTTTGAATTGCCATCTTGAGAAATATATCTATGTGATAAAACCAAATGGATTCATAGAACGTGGTCATGAAAGCAATGTTTACAAGCTTCAACGGTCCATTTATGGGTTGAAGTAAACATCAAGATATTGGGATGAAAGATTCGACAAAGTGATTAAGACATATAGTTTTTATCAGAACTTTAACGAACCATGTGTCTATAAGAAGATATAGGACAAAATTGTAACTTTCATGATACTTTATGTGGATGATATTCTACACATTGGAAATGATGTGGAAGCGTTATCATCTATGAAAGAGTAGTTGGACCAACAGTTTCATATGAAGGACTTAAGTGAAGTTAATTATGTTCTAGGCATTCAGATCTTAAGAGATCGAAAAAACATGCAGATAGCTTTGTCTCAACCTTCATATATTGACAAAATACTTGTCAGATTTGCCAATGGAAGATTCCAAGAAGGGTAATCTATCTTTCAAACATGGAATCCAACTCTGTAAGGATCAGTCCCCTAAGACTCATGAAGAGATGGAGCGCATGAGTATGATACCTTATGCATCGGCAATTGGTAGTCTCATGTATGCTATGCTGTATACTAGACCTGACATTTATTATGTTGTTGGTGTGGTGAGTTGATATCAATCTAATCCTGTACCGGAACATTGGGTGCCAGTAAAGCATATCCTTAAGTACTTTCGGAGGACAAAGAATCATATGCCGGTTTACTCATCACCAGATCTTGTTCCAGCGGGTTTTACAGATTCAGACTTCCAGGCTGATAAAGACTCTTTGCAAGTTTACATCAGGATCACTATTTACACTGGGTGGTAGAGCTAATATTTGGAGAAGTATCAAATAATCATGTATTGTTGATTTCACCATGGAGGCTGAATATGTGGTAGCTTGTGAAGCCGATAAAGAAACGGTGTGGCTCAAAAAATTTCTAATGGACATCAAGGTGGTGCCTGCATATGCAAAGCGCTTAACACTGTATTGTGATAATAGTGGGACAGCGACAAATGCTAAAGAATCAAGGAGTCATCAGAGAGGTAAATATATCGAATGGAAATATCATCTCTTGAGAGAGATTGTTAGTAGAGGAGATGTGGTTGTTAGTAAAATTGCTATTGGGGATAATCTCGTGGATCCATTAACTAAAAGCCTATCAGTTAAGATTTTCAAAGGACATCTACAAGACATGGGGTTAAAAGACATGACACCTATACTCTAGAGCTAGTGGGAGATTTGTTGGATTGTGTGCACATATAGTATAGTTTTGCTGATGTAAAAATAACTATATTCTTATATTAAATAAAATTGTTTTTATTTCATTTATTTATTTATTTAATTATTGAGAATGCAAATTAAAGTGTCTATGATCACTAGTGATAACATAAATTGGGTATTTGCGTTGAGAAGTACAGTATGGCACAACTTATATTTTGATCATAAATAATTTGTTCACTACATATGTATAAGTTCTGGCACCTTGTACCGGAAGGTTGTAGAGTTGTCTGGTTCACTATTCGGGTTTGTGATTTGTCGTATCATAGAATAGTTAAAGGTGACACTAGTACACTTGGAGTGTTTTGAACAGACCACGTGTCATGCTTAGTTCTATAACATGACTGTGCGAAGAATTAAATTCAACTTGCCGCTGTGTATATGTATATCTTTTTTTGATTTTAATGGTTCTTTGATTACAATGTGTGAGATCAATTTGGTTGGTCAAATATTTTGATAGTTAGGAACTTGATAATGAGCGAAGTAGAGAACATAAATTCGTGTTGGGAACCGTCGTCCTAAAAAATGCGTAGAGTGACTACTTAAGTATTTCTTGTAAACTGTTAAAATCTGAGTTCAGAATTTAGCGACGACTAAATTTCGACATCTGTGATTTGTTCACAAGATCGTTGAAAAAAATAGTACTTAAGTTAGTGAAAATAATTAGAGGGATAAAATGGTCATTTATGCTCGTACCTAATTATTGAATCTCGGATTGGGATAAAATACATATACGACAGGTCAGAGAAAAGTATTACAAATTTATTGGCTTCTGTGATCTTATATATTCTGAGAGCTCAGTCTTTTACCTTTAGTGGAAAAAAAAACAAAGACTTATATTTGATTGAGTTGTCTAAGGTCGACTAGATATGATCTAATTATTGGAGCTTAGAAAATATATGTCCGATTAGGTCCATGTGATAGCTCTATAAAGTAATTGAACTT